CACATGCAGACTGACAAAGAGCTAGAGGCACAGTTGCAGTACCTGGAAACAAGGTCTACACAGCAGCCCTGTTCAGAATTCACAGAAGCACTGAAGGTAAAGAGAGACGAGAGAATCTTTTACACGGTAGGCAATATTTGAGACTCATGAGTAGGAATTGATCAGATGGAGAGAGAATTGTTTGTAGGTAAGTACACATGCCAGTACATGGTAGACATGGATCACCTGGCCATATATAGGCATCAACAAGGGCAAAGTCCTTTTTGAATCAATACCTTGTGCTCCTTTCCCTTCACTTGAACAATATGTTATGTGCAGGTAGTAAGCCTGGTCAGGAACTGCTCATCAGTTGTACAGCTGTTTCTTTCAGCTCTCATCTATGTGTTCATAAAAAGTGCAGGTTTTGAATCGACCGTTGCATTCCGTCTTGGAATGATTCTGTCTTTTGACAGTTGAAGGCCTTTTTCTGATCATCTGTATTCTATATAATCATCATTTTAGGCAAATCCACATCTTAGAGGACAAGATACAAAAGAAACAATCTCCACAGTATCGCAAATCTAAGTGAGATGGCAGGATAGTTAACATTCTTCTACCATCTGGAGTATCAAAATGAAAATGATATCTTCTCCCTGTGTGATGGCCAGCTGTTGTTCTCCTACCTTATGAGCCAGAGGATGCAACTGCGTTTTATTTGTTCTGCGTTCTAACAAATTTGTTTACAGCTTCTCTGTGGATAATTATTTCTTTTGTAGTCTGAAGAAACTGTCCTTGGGAAAACAATTCTTCAACAGCGTAATTTGTAAGGAACTTTGATAGACAGTGTAGTAATAAAACCAAATAGCAGGTCTTTAAAAATCTAAATTACCTGGTCACTTAAAGACTACACCGAAGAGAATGTTTAACTGTTATTCACAGACTATGTAATGTTTATTTTCTTACTGTATCTTATGTCCACATGTCTTAGTTACTTTCCTTGTTGCTAAGACAAAATACCCTTTTGGAAAGGTTTATTTGGCCAATAGTTTATAAGAGGTTCGGTTGGTAGCTGGCTGGCTCCAAGGCAGGCTGACATGGCAGAGGGGCATCAGAGAGGAAAAGTAGTTCTTGGCAGGCAGAAGGAAGCAAAGCAGCAAAACAGCAACAAGCAATAAGCAACTGGCAGTGACCCTCTTTGTGTCCCTTGTATCCTATCCAGGCTACCCGTCTTCAGGGCAGGAAGCACTCACACCCGGAGTGAGGCTGCCTTACACTGTGAATCAATCTCAGCATCACATCCAGAGTCACACACTCCAGATCCAGCCACCTCTGAGAAGCCCCACCTACAGCCACACAAGACTTTAGGAGGGGACCTAGATACAAGCCATATCACCACATTTAAGAAAATTTCATATAATTTCAAATAATACTGTTCCAAGAAGCATTTCAATTTTCAAGTATTAAATGCATGAAGACCCAGCAATTTTATACCTAGACATTTTTTAAGAGAAATGATAATGTATATTCACATAAACATTTGTATATAAATCTTTGTAGCAGTAGTATTTGTAACAGTCAAAATGTAGAAACAACCTAATTGTCCACCAACTAATGAAGAGTTAAAGTGTGATATATCTATACAATGAAATGGGAAAAAAAGAGATATCTCTCTGTACTACAATATATATGAACCTTGAACAACTTTTACTAATGTAAAACCCAGATACGATGGTCATATATTCTATAATTCTGTTTCTAGGAAAAGTGCTGAATAGGCAAAACCATTGAGACAGAAAGTAAATTTGTGACTTTTTGAGGCTGGAATAGAGGCTGCTTTTGAAGATAATAGAAAAGGAAGTGACTATTTAAGGGTCTGAATTTCTTTTAGGGGGTGTTAAAAATGTTTTAAAATGGTGATGATGTTTCCAAAACTGAGTATATTAAAAACTGCTAAACTCTGTGGGTGAATTTTATGATAGCGGAAATCTTATTAAAGCTGTAAAAAATTCCAAAATATCAAGTATTAATTTTTGTATTATCTTGCAGGTACCCAGTGACAATGTAATATATTTCTTTTTTGACATATCCTTGCAGAGGTGGGAAGAGTCACGGACTAAGCTATTGAGAAATTCTCGCCCTGGCTCTGCTGTCAATTAGCCTCATGCAGCTAGCGCACCTTAGGCAATTCCTTATCCTTGGACCCCACGTTCATCTGGGAAACAAGGAAGTTAGCTCTGAGGTCTCTTTGATTTCTCTGAGTTTATGTGTTTATATAGTGAGTTGCATAAATATTGAGGCAGTTTTAGAGACTTGGCTTTATCCCATACTATTCAAATAAAACAAATGACAGTAGGGTTTTTTGAGGCTCCCTGCCCATCAAGTTCAAGTGTGTCTTAGGAGTCATATTTACTAATATGTAAAGCAGGGTCTCTCACTCAACCTTGCCATTAATGATATGTCAGGCCAGATAACTATTTGCTTTGGGTGGCTATCCCAAACATTACAGGTGTTTAGCAGCATCTTGGACATCTACCTGCTAGATATCAATAGTGTTTTCCTTTGAGTTCTAGTAGTCAGAATGTCTCCAGACTTTGCTGTGCACCCTAGAGAAGACAATTGTCCCTAGTGGAAGAAGCTGAAAGAGTAATGCATAGCTAAATAACTAAAAGGGTATACTCTTTGCCTATGAGAAACTAGTCAGTTAACATAAGTACAAAAATACGTGTCATTAAAAAATCTGACTTGTTTAAGTACTGTGGTACCTTGATTCATGAATATATTTGTTTGTGAACAGTTCTGTTCATAGAAGGGATTAGTAAAATTTTGTTTTTGTTTATGAACTCTGTATCAGGTGACAAATACAACCAAGCCCATCTTTCCCACACAAACACAAATGTGGCCATCTTTTCCAGAATCATGGAACAAATTAAGTTCGTGAACCAAGGTACCATTGTAATTAAAAAAAAAAAAGATTCTTATTTTGTTTTGTTGATATTTACAGTGTTTACATTTCATCTTCTATATCTATGGACATGAAAGATGGGCCAATAGAGAATAGACTAAAAACTATCAGCTTCTCTTTGAAATGAGACATATATACATATATATATATATGTATATATATATATATATATATATATATATGTGTGTGTGTGTGTGTGTGTATAGATACATAAAATTACATATTATATATCTGTATATTTATGTATATGTCTATATATTAATTAAATATATTAATTAAAATATATATCTATATATTTTTATATAGAGATATATAATTTTATAATTTTTCAAAAGAAAAATTAGAAACTGAGAGCAAAAGAACTGGGAGATGCCTAAATTTCTTCTTGGTTCTTTACAAGTAAGACATGTCATCCAGATGTTGTCCTATATATTCCATTCAGAGGCCAAAGCTATGAATTAGATAATAGAATCATTCTATAGAAAAGACGAATGCTGTAAACTGTGAAATCCATATATTTGTGGTCCTTTTACCCTCCCAACTGTACTAAAGCTGTTTCTAATGAAACTACAATAGCATTCTAGACCTCTCTCCTCTTAACGTACAAAATCTGTCTGTTGCACAACAGTCTCTGATGCTTGCTCTCACATTTCCATGCAAACCAAAAAGTTTGTATAATTTTATTGGACTGCTGTGTTTAATAAATACCAAATGAAATATTTATAATATGTTTCTAAAGACATAAATTATTCATATTTCTGGAAACCTTTCTGATAGAAGTAAAATAGGGGGTTAGAAGCTGTCTGAAAGAGAATGTTTCTGTAATGGGAATACACTACCTCAAAGAATAGATAAAATTGAAGCAGTCACCCATGAGTGTCTTTGACATTATACATTTACAGCTATAGTAATTAATCTTCGTGACTTTTCTAGACTAAGCTGATACATAGTAAGTGATTGTCCACTTTAGAAACTGGAAACCTGTGTAAGTTTTACAATACTCTTCCTACTCATCTAAATCCAGTAATCTTATTCTAGTATACTTTAATGTGGTTGTCAAAATGTTCTTTGAGTGTTTATAACTGGCTATTTTTATTCAGAACTGAAAATGTTTATAAGATTATTTAGATTCATTATTGAAAGGATTTTCAGGTCTTTGAATCAAGGTGATTAATTCATATGGTTTCATAAAATAAAAATGTACTCTAAAGCCTTAAATTACTGTCCTTGAAAAATAACATAGTAAAGTTGAGCTTACTTCAGAAATAATTTGTTTTATTCGTATCTTATACAGTAAAGCCATGACAGGCCAGGAAGCACAAAATTGCTTTTTTAAATAAAGAAACTGCAGAAAAACCCAGGAGAGAATAGCTTTGAAACTCTCCAGAATGCTCGCTGTCAAGATAACATTGCTTTTCAAACTTTGACTATTGAAAACTAAGAGCTATTGGGACAGTGACCATTCTCTGCCACTATGAAGCAGCTCTTTTGCCTGCATGTGCCTGGTTGTGTGGCTCCACATATCACTGTGATGTTTTGTCTATTTATAATACACTGAGAAGCTGCAGGGGGAAACTACTCTCTTACCCTGGTGAAACCATGGCAGTTAAACTCAAGATGGCTGCAGTCATGACAGGCTGAATCCGTATATAGGATGAGGCAGCTGCCAAAATAAAAAATAAAGCCATGCATGCAGGGGGTATGGAGACTTGTGGAGGGGTAAGTAATCTGAAGTCAGAAATAGAAATAACAAAAGAATGAAAAACAAATAATTGAAGGGCAATGATGCTATAGTAGGAGTTGGTAAGCATAGAAATACAATTGTGTGGAAGCCAGTAATCAGTTCTAAGTCTTTATAAAACTGTAAGATTTGACCTTTTCTCACATATAAAATTGAAAAGTTTGATTAGAAAAAAAAATTTTTGGCCTATCAATATCAAAACCATGCTTATCAGCTATTCACTGCTGTTTTATCTATAGAAGATCTCTAGGTATTAGAGGGAGAGTAAAAGAATGGATAGCTGGGTATTTATTACGTTGTGATTTGTACTGCAAATAGGGAGCGTCAGCCGCTCAAGAGCCTGACTTTAATTCCATCCTGGGTTTGAATCCAGGTAGCGCACCACGGTCCACAATGGTGAGTAGCCTAGGCTCTTGGGCCAGATTTTCCTGATAAACATTCTAACTCCATTACTTAAATTGATTAGTAACCTTGGGAAAATCACTTAATCTCTACATGCAACTGAAGTATTAAATGAGAATAATAATAATCATAAAAGATAAATGTCTGTATTCTCTTAATTAACCCTTGAATGGCTTCCATCTCATGTAAAATAAAATCTGTATGTTTGTTGAGGTTATCACGGCCCTTTATAGGCTGGCTCTGATTTATTTTCCTCAGAATCATATTCTCTTTATGACTACTATCCTAAATAATACTTTGCATTTGTTTATTTGTCTCTCCTGATCTCCTCTGATAGTAGCAGCAGACACTATCTTATTTATTGCTGTATATATGAAACCAAGAGCAGTGCCTGCCACAAGTGCTCAGTATCTGCTTAATTTTATAAATGAATAAATGTGTAACATAATCTGTGAAGCACACAGTGCAAAGCCTAAGTCATAAATCCACCAGAATTACTTACTGTTGCTGTTACTACTGTTATGTGCCTCATGCAGATAACAATGGCTCGGTGTATGATTTTTTTTGTGGAGGAAAAAGTCTGCTACCAAAATATAAATTTAAAATTAATATATTACTATGGGAAATATAGTTCCATTTTGGACATCATCTCAGAACTAGATTTTCAGTGATAAAATAAGGTCAAAGTTTCGAATGTTTAATCCTTCTTACTTGGTGTATAGATCTTTTATCTATAACTACACAAGCAGGGACAAAAGGAAAAGAATATTAGGCTATACTTTTTATCTTTTAGACCAGATCGTCTTTTGGTGAGTAACAGAAAAGTTTAAATCATCCAAATTAAGATTGATTTCTCTCCACTGAAAAAATGTAAAAATGCAATGATTGGCAAGGATGTTAATATTTTGTATTTTGTGCTCATATCTGTTCCAGGTATTGTCACATCTGCAAACTTCCCGGGAGAGTAATGGGCATTCGGGTGCTTCGTTTTTCTTTGGTGGTCATCCTTGTGTTGCTGCTGGTAGCTGGGGCCTTGACCAATTTACTTCCCAATGTCAAAGAAGACAAGATGCTTTCTTCGCGTAGGGAAATAAAATCCCAGGGCAAGTCTTCTCTGGATTCTTTTACTCTTATCATGCAGACATATAATAGGACAGATCTCTTACTGAGACTTTTAAATCATTATCAGGCAATACCATATCTGCACAAAGTGATTGTGGTATGGAACAATGTTGGGGAGAAGGGACCAGATGAGTTATGGAATTCTCTAGGGCCTCACCCTGTCCCTGTGATCTTCAAACAACAAATAGCAAACAGAATGAGAAATCGTCTCCAGGTTTTCCCTGAAGTGGAAACCAGTGGTGAGTTGAAACTGGGTTCTGAGACTATAAGGGCTGTGGTTCATCAGAACTAGAATGGATGTGTGGATTTTTAACTTTCTAGTTGTCTTCACTCTGGAGGAAAATTAATCAGAACATACTTTGAAAAGCTTAAAGGAACAGTTTCTAAGATCTTACAATGTAGTTTAGTGAAGAGGAAATAACATGCATCTTATAATAACCAAGATGCTGATACTGCAAAAAGAAAGAAGCACTCATATATATCGTTGCATTATAGAAAATACTAAGGCACCATTTAGCTTAATATGTGTTTTGTCAGTCTTTCCATTTTTAAGTTTCTTGAGGTTGTAATTTGCTTAAAAGAAAAGGCTTTATTTTTAGATTCACTTGTTTCTAGAATGATGGATGATAATTACATGATTATGTCCCCCTTGGGCAGTTATAAAATCAATTAAAATTCAAAAAGATTTCTTTATACTAGATAAGTCTTTCCAGTACATTTCTTATTTACTAGTCGGGCCAGGAACTTTATTTGCCATCTCTACAAATACAACTATACCTTAACTACTTTTATTTTCCTTTGCAAACTGTTTAATAAAATTTGTTTTCATTTCCTTTCAGCGGTGTTAATGGTAGATGATGACACACTCATTAGTGCCCAGGACCTTGTTTTTGCTTTCTCAGTTTGGCAGGTAATATTGCTATATCCTTTATGAAACCACTTGAGTGGAGTTTTTATCTGGTGTTTATTAAGGCTAACATGGTTTAAGTTAGTTTTTGAGTTACTCAAAACATTGTATTTAATTATTTATCTAAGAGACAGTTAAAATTGTTATAGACTAATCAAGATTTCTGAGCTTCATTAAACCAACCTTAAAGTTATAGTATTTTTAATCTATGTTTAATTAATATTTTAGTATATGCTCTGTTGGTTACTTTTCTCTCACTGCTGAGACAAAATACTCAGCACCTAAAGTTTAGGAAGAAAATGTTTATTTAGCTCATAGTTTGCAGAGGTTTCAGAAGTCCGTAATCAGCTGCCTCCAAGCCAGGATGATATGGCAGACATGGCAGAAAAAGATACCCAAGAGCAGCAAGAGCAAAAGTGGGGAGCAAGGTTCTTTCCCTACCTTATATTGTATTTGGGTTGCCTGCCCTAAAACAGGTATAGCACTCACACTGCCAGTCTTAGCATTCGGCAGTGAACCAATAATAAACTCTGATTCAGCTGCCTCCAAAAAGGCTGCCCACCTTTCATGAGTGCATGAGGTTTTGAGGGGACGTCCAAACACAAACTGACAATTGAGAAGAAGAACTGGAGTTATCTTCTAGAAAACAATGAAGAAATAATCTGGTTTATCTGGGTAATTATCAGGGTAATTTTTTTTCCATAGACCACAGACAGGTGTCTCAGATGAAGTACATATTTTTGTATTACTATTGTATTAACTTTTTCTAAAAGAAAGCATCTATTGCCTCAACAAAATTTAATCCTGATTCTAAGACTATTTTTTACAAATTCTGCAGTAATAATTCTGCATGTACCATTGTGGTGGCGCAGGTTACTGCTTGTTTGTTTTTCCCCGATTTGTAGTTCAAATAAACAGGACTTTGTTGCTCATTGGTTTCCCTATTGGATATATTCATACATTGCAACACAATCACCTGAATCCAGAATTTCATATAACCAGTCTGAAGCCCTCTAAAATGATTATACCCATTGCTATCTTATAAAGAATCTAATTTGCACTGTAATAACTCTCCTTCATTAACAACTTGGAATATAACAACATTAGGTATTTATGGTAAGTGGTTACAAAAGTTTTTCCAGCCCTGTAAATTAAAACTTCTCAGGCAGAAAGTTCTAATATAATGGCCATGAGGCTTCGATGAAAGGTTAAAAAAATTAGTTTACTCAAAAAGTAAAGATGGTGGAAGGCAGAATTTGAGGACTATAGCTAATTACAACAATCTCAGTAAGCCATAATTAAAGAGGAATAAATAGGATGTTAAGTTTTATTCATAAAATTGTTGAGCACAGTTTGAATCTATTGCCCCCAAAAATCTGGCTCCTCACAATGTGCCTGAGCAATGCCCTGCATGTGCAATGATTTGAGAGACAGAGGCCAGCAAGATGAGTAGGTATTCGTCTGTACTTTAGCAAGTGCCCATTGCTTCCCTTTCCTCCCCTAGCCCTCTGTGAAATGTCTTTCATTCTCCAGATTGTGTGAAAGACACTTCCTTGACCTCCCACTTTCTTCCAGCAACACAGTTGTCACTCTGTCCTTTGTGCCCCCATCAAATTACCTATCTACATTACAGCTTTCTCTTGCATTGTCTTTGTTCATGTGTTTGTACTGTACCTTCCCTGGACTGTGAGTTCTTTGAAATGAGATTTAACTTAGCCTAAATGGCTGAATGTGTGTGCCGCTAGTTTAGAATCTGTTCAGTACATGAATGAAACTGAAGTATTTACAAGAGTGGACTGAGCCTTTAGTCTTGTTTGTTTTTGCCTCTTTCCTATGCTTCAATATCTTTGTTTGCTGACTTTCGTTTTAGTCTCTCTAACATTAATATTATTAAATTTTTTGCTACTATTTTTCCTTCAAAGATTTGAATCTCATTTTTATATGCATATTCAGTGATACCTTGATTCACAAATTTAATTTGTTCTTCAATTTTGGAAAAGATTGCTACATTTGAATTTGTGTGGAAAAGGTGGTTGTAGTTTTGTTTGTCACCAGATGCAGAATTTGCAAACAAAAATAAAATTTTGCCAAACACTGCTGTTTGCAAACCAAATTGTTTGAATAAATTATATACAATTTATATTTTACGTATTTATTTTGTTTATATTTTTAAAAACAAAATACCCAAGCTAAAAAGGATAAAAATATAAAAAGAATTTATAATGTTTCAAATCAACAGAACATTAATGTTCTGTTCAGAAACATTAAAATCAATATGAAAAAATGGTAAAGTTATACATAGAGAACTATAATTTTATATACTTTTAAGTGCCTAGAAATACTTTCAGAAAGATCGCATTACATCTGACCTCCTACAGTAGATAACATCCATGCAAACAACTACTCTTGCAGCACACTTTGAAGGACTAGACTCTTCTGACTGGAATTTGTTGAGATCAGATGATGTTAAAATTAGAAGAATATGTGTGAGGTTAGAGCTTTTTTCTTTCAGAGATTTGGGTTGTGAGGAATTTGACTTGGAAGCTTAGGGCACAGTTTTGTGAGGTGGTCTGGCATTAAATGAAATTAAGATGTAGAAATGGATAATAAGAAGTGACAAAACAGTTTATTCTTTCTGTAACAGATGCCCTTTTTTACTATCTGGTTAAAGAAATGGCATCTGTAACAGATGCCCTTTTTTACTATCTGGTTAAAGAAATGCCACGCTTAATTTCTCTTTTTCACTCTCTTCAGCAATTTCCTGATCAAATTGTAGGATTTGTTCCTAGAAAGCATGTCTCTACTTCATCAGGAATCTATAGTTACGGAGGTTTTGAACTGCAAACACCAGGGTTTGGAAATGGTGACCAGTACTCCATGGTGCTGATTGGAGCCTCCTTCTTCAACAGCAAATATCTCGAACTCTTTCAGAGACAACCTTCAGCCGTCCATGTGTTAATAGATGAAACCCAAAACTGTGATGATATTGCCATGAATTTTATCATTTCCAAGCACATTGGGAAGACATCAGGAATATTTGTGAAACCTGTAAACATGGTCAATTCAGAAAAGGAAACCAACAGTGGCTATTCTGGAATGTGGCATCGAGCCGAGCACTTTCTGCAGCGATCTTACTGTATAAATAAGCTTGTTAAAATCTATGGCAGCATGCCATTAAAATACTCCAACATTATGATTTCCCAATTTGGTTTTCCATATGCCAACCACAAAAGTAAAATGTGAAAGTAAAACACAAACAAACCTGAAAACTGCTTGGCATTTGAGTAGCTTCTCCATATTACATATTTTTGTTCTTAAGTAGCATCATGAACTTCTATCCAGTCCAGAAGTCTCTGCAATAGAAAAATGTGCAGCACTTCTAGAATATAAAAGTCACATTAACCTCAAGAACAAAGAAGCTGGTTTTATTCATGCAAACTTTTTGTCTAAGGTTAACTGCTTGGTCAGCAATTTTATTGTTTACAACCTGAGACTGTTCAACAGTTTATTTGATTACTGGCATTTGCCTTAAGGACCTAGAGAGAGCAAGCTGTTTCCAGGAGGAAACTCCAGAAGAGTGTTTCTTAACTTTTTCACTAAAAGGGATTGTTTTAATTTCAAGCCTGAAATGCCTCTTTAGCAAAAGTTTGTAATGTAGGGAAAAGCCATGTGAGAGGAAGATAATCCCCATCCCATGTGAAAACAAAGAAAGTCCATATTTAGCTCCCGATGATCTCTTTGTGGCCCTTGCAACCATATTTACTGCCCAGCATGACTAAAATGCAACCATTGGTACTTTTATTTTTGTAGATAAGTCTATTGTAACTGGGAGGGTAGATTTTAGGATATAAGGGAAATCTAGTTGTTTGCTTGAGTTTTGTGAGTATACTGCATGGATCACCAGAAATATGCAACCTTTGGTTTATGTACAGTTTATATGCAGCAAGGAATAGATGTGTAACTTTCATCACTGAATGGACCTTGAAAATGTATGTATATTTTTATATCTTACATAAATTATGTGTTTAAGAAATATATAAAGTAACTTCTGTAAGAATGATTAAGTAGGAAGTAGCAGAAGTTAAAATCCTTCACATCAAAGACTTACTAAAGCATAGTTTATCTCATGGATATACTAATAGCTGTGTGTATTATACATCCTTGCCTTTAGAACTTTTTTCTGGAAAAGATCTAAGGCACTATGCATCATGATGAAATTTCAATTATATAGATACAGGAAATACAACTGAGGCATAGCAGAGAAATTCCCTGGGGGTCCCCATCAGTTAATTGTTAAAATTACCTTTTCTCTGTTGGATGAATTAGTATCTGTGTCCCACCCAATGTCTGTGTTTAGTCCTTTTTCACTACAGTGGCAAGAAATACTTTAGTAAACCTTTATTACTTTTTCTTTTTCTTCATCTTCCTCTTCCTTCTCATTGAAGTTACTGACCTCATCTGTCTTCATTATGCCTATACAGTCTCAAAATTGCAAAGCTGTGAGAATAAGAAAATAAACATAGTTTACGTTCTAGTTAAGAGATCATGGTGCCATTCAGTATTTTTGGGTGGCGTGTGTGTGTGTGTTGTGTGTGTGTTTTAATGTAGTCATATAAAGAAAAATCTTGGAACCTTATTAAAAATAATGTAAATCATCTGCTTTTTCCAACCTTGGTGGTATTTTTTTTTTTTTTTGCCTCTTGGTATTATGTGATAAATAAAATAAATGTTTAACCATTCATGTGTTCCATGTTGATTAAGTAGACTCATGTTTTGTGTGGCATATGTTTTTTTTTTTTTTTTTTTTTTTCCGTTTTTATCGGTACCAGGGATCGAACTCACGACTGCCTGCTTGCAAGGCAGGCGCTTATGCCACTGAGCTAAATCCCCAGCCCCTTGTTTTTACAAATTCCTGTATACTTTGTATATTGCTGAGAATCAAGTAAAAAATTAGCTACATTCTCCATAAGAAAATTTCTCATTGGGAAAATACTACCAGATTTCATTTCCATATTGCTTTAAATTTGCCTTCAGAATGACATAACTTATTGCTAAGATCATCTTTCCTTGAACACTTTTTTTTTTACTTCTTACTTTTGACACACATGATCCAAAACAGAGATGCTGAGGCTTAAAAGTGCATGGGAGAAGCAATGTAGCTTAGTAGTTAAGTGCAAACTTTGCCATTAGAATACTTGGACTCAAATCCTTGCTAGACATTTCATTAACCACTCAGAGCTTCAGTTTTCTCATCTACAAAATGAGAATGCTATCTACCATGGTTTTTTTCTTGTCCTTTAAATAAAAATAAAAGAGATAGCTTGGGTAGGCAGCTGGGAAACAGAACAAGGGAGCAGTGCTAGAGAGGGGGACCATATACAGTACCAAAGAACCATAACTGTGTGATACACCCAGAAGCGTGTTTTACTAATCTGCTAGGCATTTCTTAAATTACTGATGTTGACATACCAGGATTAATGATCAGAGATGACAAAATGTAACACAATGCTTTGAAAGCTTTGGAGTGATCATGTATTGATTATAAATGTATTAATCCCATAGCTCATCACCCACACAGAAAAGCCCTGAATCCAGGTGAGATATGCAGGAAATGGTTTCTCCATACCAGTAGGCAATGAGCTGTGATTTCTTACTGGCATTTTTTCTTTACCTGTGTTATTATGGCAGTGCATATTCAAGCAAGCAATTTAGCATATTAAAGAAGAAATTAATAGCCCACCTCCCAATTAATTCTTGCAGACTTTTCTAAGATATCTTGATTTGCATGATAGTGCCACTATTTATTTGGTATTCAAATTCAGTGTATGAATAAGCCATGGTTTATGTAATCATACCACTTTTATTTGATAATTTCTTAATTTCTTTTTAGCAACATTTGGATAAGCGTTCTTGCCTTGAATTCACACTTTTTAGCATATCTAATTTCTTTAAAACCAATTAAGTAGTATACATGCTTTTAGGGTTTTGGATACATAAATGCCTCCACAAGTGTTGTCATAGCAACACAAATATTACATCTGAGAACACTTGCCTCCCATCAGTAGTCCCACCATCACATATTTAAATTTTTCTTGCCTATTCAATGTGCAAAATATTTGAATGGTGAAAGATTTGAAAGGTTTCTCATTCCTAGAACTGTGTTGAGAAGGCTAGAAAGGCAGACAAGCAACTATCTAAGGAAAGAGTCAAGGGCAATATAAGCTTCAGGAAGCTTTTGAAGTGCTTCTAGAAATGCTGCTTCCAGATTTAGAGTAAAAACAATGAATTGTTGACTTTTTTTGTTTCTAGCAATATACCATTTGAAAGCAACTAAAGATTCTCAGATTCTTCCCCTTGGGAAGACCTAAGGGAGGAAGGGGATGGATTAGGGTACTGCTGCGAATGGTTGAGGAGTTTAAAGGGCTTGAATCTCAAAGGATGCTACAGTGACTGAAGTGAGATTAGATCACTGTTTACCCAGGTGTGGCACATGCCTCTAACCCCAGCACTCCGAGGCTGAGGCAGGTCTATTTCAAGGCCAGCCTGGTGTAACTGGCAAGATCCTGTCTCAAGCAAGCAAACAAATAAACAAGCAAATAAATAAGCACTGTCTATCCTGTACCAGTTTTTGTTTATCACCTCAAGAGGTTTCCCAATTTTCGAAATCTTTCCCCTTTCTTTTCCTTCTCTAACCTTTGTCCCTTACCTCCCTTCCTCCCTTTTTCCTTTCATGAAGACCCTCCAAATATAAAACCCAAATATTTATAAAAATATCTTTACTAGGGACAAAAAGAAAGAACAGAAAGAAAGAAGGAACTTAATTTCCTTATATGCAGAATGAGCATGAAAGTGTGTGCCCTAACACTTCACATTGTAATGTATACAAAACAAATCATGGTATCATGAAAACACAACAATTTTGAAAAGCAATCAGAAAAAGCAGCTTAGCTAAGCGTCCAAAACAAAAACTTGGTTGTGTGGCATGACTGGTTCAAAATTAACATCGGAGCTTGAGAAGTGAGAATAAATATTGCAGATGTTGGGGAAAAAGGAAAACACTGTAATTGCAGCACAATAAGGTAGTTAAATTATGTATTTAGTCTGGAGATGAAACTCCACTGAAATATCTCTACCTATTCTTAAAAAAAAAAAAAAAAAAAAAAAAAAACTGGAGAAAGCAGCCTTACTTTATAGCTGTAATTCTTTACTGAGCTGACCCCTCTGCCACACTACAGAACATCTGGCAGCGTTTGGAAGTATTTTTGTTACAACAGGGCATGCTGCTGGGACGTAGTGAGCAGAGCCCAGGGACGCTGCCAAACATGCAACACACCAGACAGACCTGCACCAGCCAATGTCTGCAATGCAGAGATTGGGAAAAATGCGTGGCAATATATTAAAGAATATTTGGTTATTAATATAACTACACGGTATGCTTTCTCACAATGCAAGTTGTAATTCTAGTTCAAACTGTATAACATGCCTGCTGAAACAAAATTAAGAAGGAAATGTGCTTATATAAACATGCTTATAAAATGTGCTTATATAAATGTGCTTATAAAATCTGGTACGTGATTCCGTGACCCTACATTCTAGTCAAAAGTCAGGAAGTTAAGATTTATTTCTCTTTTTCTCTGACCCACACACTTCTTTCTGTTTTCACAACTGAAGAAGTTAACAATGGAGCTTGATTTTCTGGGAAAATATGCAGTATTATATAATACAATGTGTATTTTCCTAGCATGTCTCTAGCTAGAGAAAGTTGGATGCTTGTGTTGAAATAAGATAAATATGAATTCTTCATACTTATGTGTCTATATTATTAGTTTCTACAATAAACAGAAGCAAAACACAGATAGTGAAGATAATTTATATAGAAATTTCTGGAATGGGAGAATCACAATACTTTTTCTAGAATGAGCTGATGTTAAAAGTTATTTAAATTTATCTACATCTCAATTTCCACAGCTACAAAATGGAGGGCAAACTAAATGATTAATAAATTTCTTTTCAATTATAAAATTCTATGAATTATTAGATTGTAAAGTAGCCATGTTATACTTCCTGTCAAGAAAAACCAAAACAAAACATAAAAACACTGCCCTTGAAAGTAACATTCCCAGAGCCTGCCACCTCAACTGCAGCCTAAACTTATCTCCTCAGAGAAATTTTCTTAAAGTAAATTCTAACTATGTATTACTATAAGTATTGTAGCTTTAAAGGCCTTGAAGATGTAATGGATGGGAAGAGGTTATCATTTAAAAGATATTTTAGCTCTTTATCAAGTTTCTGTTTAAATACCACTGACTAACAAAGAGAGATGCACTAGAATCAAACTGAACTATGAACCAGAAATTATCATTCTTATTTATTAATTTGGTAAATTGAGAATGCAGCTACGAGTTTTAAAGACTGTTCCATTTAAACAAGTAACAATTTTTACGGAATTTACTTTCTTACCAGCAGATGTCAGTGCAACCTAATCAACTAGCATTTTTACGTGCCCCACCAGAGAACAAAGTAAAAATAGCCTTAAAAGAGCAAAGGTAAACAGGCATGGTGGCACATGCCTGTAATCTCAGCATTTTGGGAAGTTGAGGCAGAAGCATCACTGGGAGTTCAAACCTAGCCTTGGATACAGTAAGATCCTGCCAAAAAAAAAAAAAAAAGAGTTAAAATCTATTATAAGTGCTTTTGTTATGAACATTTTTCAGTAGAGCCATGGAAAATATCAATCCAAATGATAAATACAACAAAGATATTATTTTTTAAAAACAACAGAAATATTGTAGTTGAATTCAATGAATGAGGAAATATAATTTAGATCAACATGTACAATTATTATGTGTTCATTGAAAAGTGTTTTCGAATGTTTATATGTATATATGGGAGGGGGTTAAAACCGCTCAAATTCCCAGTTGGTTAAAGGAAACATACTGTAGTTGATACAGTAGGATGCTATACCCAATAAAAGCTCAGCGGCATAAGCGCCTGCCTTGCAAGCAGGCTGTCGTGAGTTCGATCCCTGGTACCGGTAAAAATAAAAAAGACAAAAAAAAAAAAAAAAAAAAAAAAAAGCAGCATGTTACTGATAGTTGCAACAACATGACTGAATCTCAGAAGTCTTAAGCTAAAGGAAAGAAGACAGACATAGGCAATATGCCATATGATTCCAGTGAGATGACACTGTAGAAAATGCAGTGCTATAGGACCACAAATAGATCCACAGTTGACAGGACCTGGGAGTGAAAGGCTGGACTGAGTGACAATGGAAGTGTGAGAATTTGGAGAGATGAGAGAAATATTCTGGATCTTGATTGTGGTGGTGGTGATGTGATTATGCACATTCATCAACACACGCAATTGATGAATTTTACTTTATGGAACTTTTAGTTGAATAAACCAGACTTTAATATAAATGAAAGACATTTGAAATAAAAAGTGTATCTGTGATATAGCCAGTAATAAGATTTCTGAATAATTGAGTCAAATAAGAAAATAGAAAGGTTAACAAACAAACTGAATCCTTCCCTTGCCTGGGAATGTAGAAGAAACCTTACTGTACTGTCCGATGGCCCACCTACCTGTGTGTGGCCCACCTACCTGTGTGTGGCCCATCTACCCGTGTGACCTTGACCAAAGCACTGCTTCTCTCCACATCTGTTTATAACTACTCTTAAGAAAGTTCATTAAATATTTAAAGTTTTTCAATATCTTTACATTTTTCAAGTTAAAAAAGTAAAGACCATGTTTATTATTCCAAAAACATCTCATGCTCATTGGTCATTAAAGAAAAATTCAGATCTTACACCAAGTCCTTTGGTAAAGTAATGGGATTAATAATTTTAGTTGTTACACAATTTGGCCAGTAGGTGTCATGGACTCATTTATGAAAAAAAAGATAATTTATATAAAATTTCTTTTTAAATGAATGCTTATAGAGTATTTTTATCTGCAGTGATTATGAATGTTGTTTCATGGGAAAAATCTATTTCATTCTATTATGTTTGGTGTTTCAAAAGATTTTCAGGAAACATAAGAATGGGTTTTTTTGTTTGGGTTTTAGTTTTGGTTTTTCTTAAATACACAATTACTTATTGCCATGACAAACTGTTTGGTCCAGATTGAAAACTAATGGATTTCTGTATATGATTACTTAACCAGTCTTGGCAAACACAGTCTTTTTATGGCATGCTCTTCATTTATAATGTCACCAAATGAAGCTTCCTCTGCTACCTAATATAGCATAAGTAAAGCATCTTCTATGGCATCTTGTAACTTACGTACCAGTTTTTCTTTTCTTTTGGCTCTCCCAGGACTGAGGATTTAGCTCAGTGGCATAAGTGCTGCCTGGCAAGAGCAGGGTCTTGAGTTTTATCCCTGATAGCAAAACAAACAAAAAACTAGTAATAATAATAATAATAATAATAATAATATCCTCTTTTGACTATCCCTCTAAATTATAAAGTTACTAGGCGGTAACAGTGCTGCATACCCAATTCTGTAACACAGTATCTTATACTCAGTTTTCATTAATGGTGACAAATACATGAATAAAGATTTGAATCAATCTTGTCCCAAAACAGGTAATATACCTATGAACAGATGAAAGGTAAATGGACTGGCTATTTTCCCTGCAAGAACATATAGCACAATTATGAGTTATACAAAATAAAAAGTAAGGGCAGCAGCAAAAAATAAAATTAAGATCATGGAAGAAATACATAGCTTATGTAATAAGTGAGCATGAAGTCTTATTTTGCATTCCAAAGAGGTCTAGAAATCTGACATTTGGGAATGTCTATAGATTCCTCAGAATAATGTTTCTAAAAAACGTAAAATATATATATTAAAATACATAATTACGTTCAAATAGAGATAGCAAAACATTTTAAGCAATTTATTTATAAGACCTAGCAGTGGGTTTTAAATAGCTACTATAATTTCATAAGAGATGAGTATAAATGATATTTTGAGAATCAGCGACAACTGTAAAATGATATGAAAAAATATTTTTGACAGGCACAGGTACTGTTAATCTTCTGGAGCTTTAACCTAAAATGACAATTGGTAAGAATTCAAGATTTCAAGTCAGTGAAATTAAAGTTGTAGTATTTTCTTCTTCCTAAATAGAGCACCTAAGTTCCATTTATGAACCCAAGGTTAAGTAAGGTTAAGGGGTGAAGGGAATCGGGATGCTGAACAGCATGAGGAATGAGGGAGCAAAACCGTTTACCTTCTACATGGAGAGCGGCCCCCCCTTTCTCTCTTCCATCAGAAAGCTCGCAGCATTCACTCCACTTCTTCATCCGTCACTTATTATTTGCTCCCGTACAGCAGGAATCATGTCTCTGCAGTTCCATGAAACCACCTTCCCTGGAAGTCACGCATTGTGTCTAGGTATTACACAGTACGCTGGGCATGGCTTGGTCTTTACCCTGTCCAATTTCTCTTTGACTTTTTCATTGTTAAGAATATTCTTTTAAGAACTTCTTTGCTCTTTTGGCTTAACTTTTTTTTTCTCGTCTCACTTCTTTGGAGGTTCCTTTTTCAGACCCCTAATCTGGCTCCTCTTCTGCCTCTGAATAATATTCTGGAATTTTGCCTGTGTTGTTTCTCTTTCCACTCCACACAGTTTCTCTGAAAAGTTTTACTGGTCAGTCTGTAGATCCACCTCAAGCCTCTTTCTTGAACCTTGACTTTATATTCAACTATCTGTGATACAACTTTCCCAAAATATATCAAGATGTTTCAAACTTAGCATATGCAAATTAAACACATCCTCTTTCCCTCTACACTTCTCTTTTGCTCCCTATTTTGATGAATGACATTGCAGTCCAAAAGCCACTCAAGTCAAAAGTCTGAAAGCTGTTTTCAACTTCTCCCTTATCCCTAAACATTAATTGCCCATGTTTTCAAGTTTATTCATTTTTAAGATTTCTCAATCTTGTCCATTTTCTCAGATCTATTGCTGCCTTCGATATTTTAATAGTTACCAATCATTTATTGCTTACAATCTGGCAGGTATTATTCCAAATATTTTATACATGTTGTTTTATTTAATCCTCATATCATCCCTTGGGGTAAAATTTATTATGCTTATAATGACAAATAAAGAAATAGAAGCCAAAGAAGGGTAAGAACTTGTCTGAGATCATAGAGCTTTTTGATTTTTAAAAATTTTTATTTTAAAAGTAGTGAAATTTCACAATGATTAAAGATAGGAAAAGAAGCTTGATAGGGTAGTGTATTCCTGTAATCCTAGCACTTGGGAGACTGAGGAAGGAGGGTGCCTATGAGTTGGAACTCAGCCTGGGCTACACAGATTTCAAGCCCCGCCTGAACTACAAAGGAAAACTCTGTCTCAAAAAACCAGAAATGAAGAAAACAAGAAAGAAAGCAAGGGGAGGGGTACAAGAAATGTGCTCTGCAGAGCGAATTTGGCCTAAGTGACTAAGTAACAATAGGAAAAAAGTACACTGTACAGCATGAAAGCAGACTACTGTGAAAAGAGAACACAGGAGCTTTATTTTTTAGCACTGTTTGTGGTGCATAATGATTATATTCACTGTGGGGATTGGTACATGTACAGAACACATGTTAATTCTTTAATACCCCTTTCCCAACTCTCTCTTCTACTTTCTCCATCTCTTGGTTCCTTTCCCAATTGCAAAAGATCTATCTCCCAGTTTCTTATTATCTACATTTTATTTTTGTCTTTATTTATATTTTGTTTTCTCATATAAGAGAAACCATGCAATGTTTGAGCTTGCATGTCTGATTTATTTTACTTAACTTCAAAGTCTCAAGGTACATTCATTTGCCAACAAATGACTCAAGCTAACCCTCCTTTGTAACAAAATAGTACTATACTGCATGTAAATACTGCATTTTCTTTATCCACTCATCTGATTTTGGACATATAGGCCACTTACAAGATTTATTTATCATTAATTATGTTACTATAAGCATATATGTATACATATCACTATAATATCATGTCAAACTTTTTGGGGAAGACACCTAGAAGAAGAATTACTGGGAATCAGGCAAGAAAAAAAATAAAAGGAATACATACAGGAAAAGATGAATCAAATTATTATTTGAAGATGGCATGATACTTTATATAGAAAATCTAAACAATTCCACCAAAAGACTCCTAGAATTAATAATAAAATTCAGCAATGTAGCAGGATAAAATAATCAGCACACAAGAATCAGTAGCATTCCTGTACACCAATGATGAACCCACTGAGAAGGAAACTAGAAAGCACCATAGAGCTTTTAAGTGGAAGAACCAGGAAAAGGCCTCGGTCTGTTGGAGTCCAACACTACACACCAGGGACTCTGGTGTTCCTTTCCTAAAATCTATCCATCATGCTGCCATTGGGATTCTTTGGCTCAAAGGCAAATCTGATCACCTGATCTGCTGCCTGTGGGTTTTCAGGGTTACCGAGCATCTTCACTACAGTGTGGACACTGGTCATCACAAGCCAGCCTTTCCTTCCCTCTCCAGCCTCCTCTCTTGTCCCCATCCAGTTTCACTCCACATTCAGGTGCTGTCCACCCCACCCTCCTACTTTTTCTCTGATCTATTAGTTTGTTATGGATATCGTAGCAACGTAGTTCAGACTGGGTGGCTTGAATAACACAAATGTGTTTTCTCATTGCTCCTATAGTGAGAAGTCGGAGATCAAGGTGTTGGCAAGTTGGTGTCTTCTGAAGGACCAACCAACAAGGCAAGATCTATTTCAGGCTTCTGTCCTTGGCACATGGACAGCTGCCTTATTGCCGTGCCTTGCAGGGGTCTTCCTTTTGTGTTCTCATTCCTGATTCTGTGTGTCCAAATCTCTGCTTCTATAAGGACAGTAGTGGATTAAATTGGTGCACAACTCAAATTCCTCATTTTAACTTTTAAAGGCCCTCTCTCCAAAAATAGTCACATTCTGAGGCACTGAGGTTTAGTAATTTAACATACAAGTTTGGGAAAGAGGGCACAAATCATAACATCCCCTTATGTAGCTAACTCTGCCTTATTACTCTGGACCCATTCATTCATGTCACCCTGTAGGAAGGCTGCCCCAGGTATGAGTTAAGTGTTTGTATAACCCTGCCTCCTTCTATTACAGAATTTACCATTCTGTATTGTAATTACTTTTTTCTCTGAAACTTCCCTTGAGTCCAAGAAACATGTCTCATTAATTCATTTTTCTAGCCTCAGTCCAAAAACCAAATTCTAATTCACATAGGTATGCAATCAGCTAAAACTTTATTAGCTCATATTTTTATGAATGCCCAATTTAACCAGGCACAAAATATTAAAGATAAAATGGCAAACAAAAGCCAAATTTAGCTTTGCCTCTCATGGAGTTGAAATTTTAGCTAGCAGAAAACAAAGAGATATAAACAGATAATATAATTTCTGGTGCTACTAAAGAAAATAAGATAATAAGATGAAGAGCAATTACAGCAGATCTCTTTGGCTAGAGCTGGAGGTTCATAGAAATCCTAAAAAGACATTTAAAATTAGGCTGACTGATGTAATATAACATGCATGCTCTGTGGGAAGAGAATTTCAGGCAGAGGACACATCAAAAGCAAAGAGCCTGTGATAGAAATGAACTTGGGAAGTTTGAGGGACATATAGAATCCAGTGACTGTGAAGCAATAACTGAAGGTGACAATAGAGAGAAATAATAAAAATCTCAGCTGTGTACAAAATGCAAAGGAAGCCATGGAAATGTTTGAAGTCAGGGCAAGCTATGATAGTTTATATTCATGATAAGATCCCTCAGCCTGTTATGTTGAGTGGAGATTTTAGAAGCATAAAACAGGGAGATGAGCAAGGAGACTGATAGTAATCATCTAGACAAATAACTCTGAGCTGGGTGTAATTTTGAACCCTGAGCATCCCAGGGGGCATTGGAAATATCCTGAGTGATTTTTGGTTTTCACAACTCATGAAACTAGTGGAGTGGGATTACCACTGTCATATGGTTGTCTAGAGAGAAGTGATGGTAGTTTGGAGTAAGGAAGTAGTAATGAAAGTTGTGAGAAATAGACTTAAAACTATATCTGGGGATCCAAGGGAACAGTGCAATAAGGCCCAGAGACTAACAGCTGCTGGGACCTAGCTGAAAAGCACCATAGGAAGGCCTAGAGACTGGTGGATGCTGGGATCCAGGTAAACAGCATGGAAAGACATAAAGATGCATGGGAATGTCAGCCACACAATAGGGCCTCAATCCAGGGTGTGAAGGATGAATAGATGGGATTAATGGCATGAAATTGTCAAAAATAACAGTAACAATGTGAACCAACAGTTGGTAAGTTAGGGGAACCAGCATTGAACTTGGAAACAAAGACTCATGAAATAGAAGCAGGCAGATGGGGTCACCCCTGCTCTCTCTCTCTCTCTCTCTCTCTCTCTCTCTCTCTCTCTCTCTCCTTATATTTTTTATCTTTTCTGAATATCTGGAGAGAATTAAAACCACATAAAATTAATCCCATCCCCCAAAACCAGAAACCAAGTTCACATAATCCTTTGCTTCATTCTCTCTCTTTTTACCCTCTTCTCTAATTTTCCAAAGCATGCATATCAGCCTTTGTCCTCCAGTCTGTCTTCTACTTTCTTTTCAGTTATCTTTGTTTTACCCACTATCTTTCTTTCTTTCTTTCTTTCTTTCTTTCTTTCTTTCTTTCTTTCTTTTTTTTTGGTACCGGGGGTCAAACTCACGACTGTGGGCTTGCCAGACAGGCACTTAGGCCACTGACCAAATCCCTGGCCCTCTATCCACTATCTTTCTTAAGTTTCCCTACCAAAAGGTAAAATCATTCTACCAAGGGAAACACTGCACACATGCTCCCCGTTAATCATCAGTTCTCTTGTATAATTGTGGATTTTGATCCTATGATTTAAGATACAAAGTTAACAGTTTCCAGTTTGTCAGTCTCTAAACAGTGCTGGATGCTATTGTTATTGCTAATTGTACTACTTTAGCTAGGATGTCATTTCTGTTGTTACCAGTTGTTCCCGCTTCTGTAAGTACTGGGAGTCTCTGGGGGTAGTAACTTCACATCAGACCAGCACCAAAGGACTAGTGACTGAACCAAACAGATTAAACAACTCACTCTTAGTTAACTGGGAAGGTAGAATCTTGGGACAGACACAAACCAAGAACCTCCTACGCACAGAAGACATCCCTAAAAAACAGACTTTTCCTAGAGAGGATTTAATAGTAGTGATATAATTACCTATTATAATAACTTACAAGGGTCAACACAGAAAACAAAATAAAAATTCTAAAAATAGAAAATGACAAGACATAGAAGCAAAATGCAATCTCAGACTACCAGCTCACCCAGAATAAATTCAAGAGACAAAGATAGTGGAAAAAGTAAGACAAGCACCTGAAATTTCTGAAATGGTAACAACTGAAGTAAAGAAAAAAATCCATGAAGCTATAGAGTAAATCACATTGGAAATAATCCCTCAGGTGAGAAAAGAAATGACATCATAAAGGAAATGCTCAGCAAATCTAGAATTGTGATAGATTTAAAAAATATAGGATGATAGGAAAATGAAGAAAACCAAATGATCGATATAGGAAAGAAACAGAATGCATGAAATAAATTCAAACAGATTTCCCGGAAATTAAAAATGCCAATTAAAGCTAGCAAAAC